GTTTACTGAAATTTCTTATCTTCAGTTACTTGGCAGAGATCAACCTCTCAGTGGCTTTCAGTTCTTTAGTCGAGTCGCAATGGACGCACGGAAATTTTCCACCCATGTACTGGATACCTCTGTTGGAAAGGCGGCCGCAAGTGTTAGGGTCACAGTTTCTGTTCTAGACGAGATCCAAGAGTGGAGATCCCTCCGAGCGCTCCAAACCAATGCGGACGGTCGTTGTCAACTTTTGGAGGCCGGCGAGTTTCCCAGCGGAGTCTATAAGCTAACATTTAATGTGGGAGCGTACTTCGCAGAGCGCAATGTGAACACCTTGTACCCAGCTATAGATATAATGGTGGACTGTAGTGAAAATAAGAATTATCATATTCCTCTGCTCCTTAACCCCTTTGGATACTCCACATACCGTGGCACATAGATCTATAAAAATACATAATCCATTTTTGGAATAAGCTCGAAGGAAATAGAAAAATGTAATACAATTTTTCGAAAGAGAATGTATTTTTATTTTAATCAGTCTAGAGTTTTGTAACGGAAAATATTTTGAAATGTGCCTAGACACTACTAATGATCAGTACCCACCCGGTTTGTATAATCTTATTTGCAGTTTTGTATGCTGTATGATTAGTATAATTTCTGAAACTTATTCTGAAGCCTTTTCTGAAACTGTGTGCGCTTTCTTTTCTGTTTATGCTTATCAGCTGGATGGTCCAACACATATGTACATAGATATTTGTTTGTATTATATAAATATAAGTTATCTTCCATCATAAATATTTAATTCGCTTTGTGGAAATTCATTTAATTTTGTTGTCTGTTGACTTTGATATATGACATCCCTGAACGCTTTAGACTCATAATTGCACTGTTATTATTTCAAAGTTATCACGCCTTCTCAAATAATTCCAGTTTTTAGCCTAGTACTCAGCATGATGCAGTTTTATTAAAAATATATTATATAATTGCATCATGCGCCGGGCAGTACTCAGATCGAAAAAAATGGTTATGGTAGCAGTTCGAAAAAGAAACTGTTCTTTTATGATCCCAGTACTCAGATGTGCTACATTTTCGGTAGACCGAATTAGGGATGATATTCGCAGCCAGCTTTCCGCAGTACAATACTCAGATCAGCCGAAACTATTTCCGAAAACCAGGCTTTGATGTTGTGATTGATTCGAACCAGAACATGGTGTTCTAGAGACTAGGTCAGGAAAGGTTATAACGTTGAATGTTAGAATGGTTCAAGAAGGTTCGAACATATTATTCATCAAGGTGAAGTTGTAGGCGAGTATGGAAGTACCAGTCGGAAAAGAAAATACTAATTTTAACGTCATCAGCATACATTAATGCACCTGAGTTTACAATAACTCGAGGCAGGTCTTTCACAAACAGATTGAATTCATGCAGAATAGTGTGCTTAGGCCATACAGACGGTTCCAAAGCTTTGGATACAAGAGAATCGGGAAGAAGAATTTTGAATGATGAGATATTACGCTTTTGTGTAAAATTAAATTTAGTTATTTTGAAGTTTTCAGGCGGCGATATGAGACTAGAGCTTATATGTAGTTTATCCGAAGTTAGATTGGCAGGGGTTTGGATTTTTGGGGCAACTAGGAGTAGAAAAAGAGTCCATCTGTTGTAGGTGAGAGTATATACAAATAAAAGAAAATAAATAAAATCAAAGAAATCGGTGATTAGTTAGACGATAAATGATGATTTTTTTCATAATTTCTCGTACTTATCGTACATGCTTGGTCTGAAGGGCGTGGAAAATGTTTGAAACTATCGCAATGTTATCGAGACTTAAAACCATCGATAGTGAGCTAAGTCGATAGTGTCCAACCATCGATAGTACCGATAGGTGAGGTTGAGGCGGTTTTCGGGATTTCACAATCTCGACACACTTAGGCCGGTTTCGGCCCGTTGTGATTTGGCTTGGATCTTTTCCTATTCTCCTCCCGTTTTGTCCCTATCAGCCAATGCCCTGTAAGAGAGCGAATGACTACGCTGCACCTATGTTTGCATAGTTCAGCGGTGCGTTTTTTCGAGATGTCTGGCTGGTGATGCGACAACCCGTGACCATTTGCCATCTGTTGGTTGTTTGCAGGGTATAGTACTCTTTTATTTTGAGCCTGCAAGAGAGCAGCAGTTCCTGCTTTACAGTGGTGGAGATTTATCTGAAGGAGCCTCAGAGAGATCCTTGCCTATCTCCACCACTGTATGGTCGGCGTCCGACTCGCCGGAGCTTTCGTTCCGGCACATTGCCTCGACCTCCAGCATCAGCTCCGACTCTAGGGAGTCACCTTCGTGGGCCAACTCCAGCTCGTTGTCGGGTACTTCGATTTCCGAGGCAACATCCTGCTCGACTGGGTTGTCGACAGGACGCGTCCCGGCCGCTGCATCCGACTTATACACCTTTATGGTGACGGAGCTGAACCCGAAGTTGAGCTCTCCTTTGGCTGCCTCTATCGGGGCCAGCGACTCCTTGTTTATCACGACCACGGCTTGGTTTGTGGGGCCCTGCGTCGCTTCAACTTTAACAACCTTCCATCGCTGTTGCATCGCTGCAACATTCGCAGGATGCGCTCTGGCTCTTCTATGATGGCCGGCACCCAGATTCTCGCCTTCGGTCTGCTGGGCACTTCGCTCCAGTCGACTGCGACTAGTTTTGCGCCTGAGTAAAGTTCCCCATCTTGCGCTACCGCTGCACGGAGCTCGAAGCAGCGGTCGGCCAATGCCGCTTCCACCCACTTCCACTGGCTCCTCGGGAATCTTCCATCCGACGCCTATCAGCGTCCTCTCGTTGGCAATCTGCGAGAAGGACACATTCGACAGTATCCTGGATCGCTTTGCAGCTGGTCCAGGAGTCTCTTGCGAGGGCTGCCTTTTGGGTTGCTGGGGCGGTCTGTTTGGTTCCAGATTAAAGTTCCGAAGTATTTCCGAGGCCCACTTTACCTTCTTCAACCAGTCCTATGAAGGCTGGCTTCCGAGCTCGCGTACTGCCGACGGAGTATGTGCCCTGCACTCCTCTTTTCGGCGTATGTGAAACGTTTAGCTTAGGCGCTGGTCGATGGCCCAGCCTCCCCCTCTACTTTGCCAGAAGGTCGGGTCATTACTTTACCGCAATGTTGCTTATCTGCCTCTCCAAGGCGTCACTATTGGGGGGTGCTGTGCCACCCATCCCAGGATTGGAGTGGGGCCCCAACGGGCTCGCACCCTCGCTGTCTACCGGGCAGGTCTTTCCTGCTATTGAGCGGGTTAGGACAGGCCTTTGGGCCGCTGCCCTTCCCTGCTTGGGATTGCTCCCTTCAGACGTCTTTCGCATTTGTTTTTTTTTTGTATAAAAAGAAAATTCTTTAATATTATTATTTTTATACATCTTGATCCCACGAGATGCAGAGAAGGGGAACCCAGGTAAGGCATCATTAGAACAGGGGGCTGCCATTTCCCTGAGCTCCCCGTTCACGACTGGGCTAGTTTTTATACCGGACCCCCGCCCAACCTAACTCTCGGCACGGGTCGAATGACACCTTAGTCCGGCCCGGTTTGAGGTGGGTGGGTGGGATGAGGATAGGTGTCGTGTGGGGAGGGGAAGTCGTTGCCCTCACACTTACAGCGAGAGCCCGTTCACTAGCAGCTTTCTCTCGCTAGTTCTGCTTATGGTTGCCGACGAGACCTCCTTATAGTTTCTTCATGCCTTGAGCTACCTCACGTTCGTTGGATTCATCGGCGATAGTACCGATAGTGCACCTATAGCTTTCTGAGGGGGTGATTTTAATGAAAATTGGAATACAAATTTGTAAAATATAAGGCCATAGGTATACAATCTAATAAAATGGAGTATTTATTATAAGCAAAATTGATTCTTCTCTTGGATTAAATTATTGTTTCAGCGGTGAAAATCTTTGCAAGCTAGCAATATCAAAAAGAACATCAAAATCGAGGAATCTGATTTAAGACTACGGTATATTTACAGTATATTTTGATGACGCAATGGAATATTTTGGTATATTTACAAGGTTCGATCTATAATTTCGCGGTCACACTAGAGGTGGAGAACTAACGATAGTGGGCACCATCGATAGTAAATTTTAAACAATTGATGGTGGTCGATCGTATCGTCAATAGTGGTCGATAGTCGCAATAGAAAAATTGTTGCATTTAATGTATAACATTTGCTTACAATTTTAATTTAATCCACAAATTTTGGTTAAAAACGAGAAGGGACATGTGAGACGCTTCTTACGCGTCACAACTTATATACCCGGTACTCAAGATAACATCTGTACCTAAACGGTTTTTTTTCAAATATTTAATCATACATTTTACATTTTTTCAACATCTGTCATCTACATCTACATATCTCACGAAATCATGCTATTTTTGCTCGCCCCCCACCCCTAGAGCCGAACACAGCACATGAAGAAACTATAGTTTCCTCATGACACAGCAGATCCACGGCATAAGCAGTGTGTATGAGAAAATGTGAAAAAAACAAAAGCTGTTGGACGGGGTGAGTATAGCTACTGCAGAACATAATTTGGTCTGGCTATAATAATGATCCAATCGGACCCCGTTCGGTGATCTGATAGATATGGTCCTCCCCTACGGAATGGCGTTATTAGTTTTCTTTTATCTTCAAAATTGTAGCTTTGTATGATTTTCTCCCTTTTGCTCTTGCGGATGTAGGCGGGGACTATTTTTGAAACTATCGCGATATTTTCGAATACTATCGAGACTTAAAACCATCGATAGTGATCTAAGTCAATAGTGTCCAACCATCGGTAGTACCGATAGTGCCATCGATAGTTATCCACCTCTAGGTCACACTGCTGCTGGCTCGTAGCTGTATCTTATTCGTCGCGCGCGCTCCGCTGTCGGTTTAAAAAAAGCGATTTAGTTTTGGGAATGCCGGTAGTTTTCAAAATAAAAAATACACTTACTTGAAATACAAAAATTGAGTACAATATAAAGTAATTAAAAGTGTGGTACTCAGTGCTCGAGCTTCGTTTTGTTAAGTTGCTTACTGCTCTGCTTGCTTTTGCCCCCCACACAGAGGCGCAACAGTTGTTCTCGTAGGGCGGAGATCAAGTATAGAATTGATATGGAAATTATATCCCTATCCGCGTGTTATTGAAGATGGAAGAGTTAAACAAGAAGTTGAGTTTGTTATTGGAAAGTACGAGCACACTCACGCTACCACGGGTAGATGTACGCTATACCTATACGCTCCCCACAGCCAAGTGAACAAATCCCCAACAAATCTTAAACCAGTTTCAAGATACATATTCTTGGTGTCAGTGTGTGCATGTTGATTTTTTTCTGGCATTGTTTTCGTTTGGTTTGGTTTGGTTTGGTGTTTTGTGGCTCTGCATCTTTTTTGTGTACCTTTTCGCCTGTTTCTGTTGCTCGGTTTCCCCCTAATCGCGTTTCCATTTTCTGGTTGCCTCTGCCCCTGCCTCTGCCCCTGCTGTTGGCTCTCGTCCAGGTCGGGGTCCGTCGGGGTCCAGCAAGAGCAACAGCAACAAGTACCCGGCCCGAACACACGAAAAGACAAGCCAAGAGCAACAGCTCAGCATCTAACGTACTGTGCCCAATCGGTCCAATTTGAATGCGGTCCAATTCAAAGCAGCTCGAGAACCGGAGTATCTCGCCCGAACATTTCTGAAAGGTAAGCCATGCATACATATGTTCTTATGTACATATTTTTGTATCTATTTATATTATAAGGCCATTGAAGGATTACATTTTACATTAAAAAATCGAATTTAATTAGGAAAGTTGTTTTTGCGTAAAATGTTAATTCAAAAAATTTGTCAAGAATGGGAAATCTACCTGCAGGGACAATAATATTGCTTTCACATTAATTAAAGTATTGAGTCATGATAGACATGCTATAATTCGACAATAAACGTGAAGTATGTTATTTATTTGTTAAGAACATTTTACTAGTTAGTTAGATACCTAGTTCGTTAACAGTCTGAGTGCCCAAGACATGCACACCTACATATGTATGTACTTTCATAGCTTATTACCTCATCTTTATTGGGAAATTCGGAACAAATAATTAAAAGTTCAAAAATTCAAAAAATAATGGCAAGAGCCGCATTAAAGCGCAATCAAAGTGACAAACTGCTAGCGCTCAATTATGAAATCAAAAACAATCAAATGGAAAAAAAAACCGAAAAGATAAGTAATTGTTAATCGATTCGACGATAAACACTTTCTAGGCCCGCAGCTCTATCCGACCACGAGTCATTAATAACTGTAGTCAATCACAACAAAACAAAACAAGATAAAAGATGCTTATATTAAATGGTGCCGTTAGAAGAGACGCTGGAAAAGTGACAAAATGCTAGCTTACTCGAATATGGATATAATTTGCATTGACGCAACACAAAAACCCAATATCCAATGATCGTTAAAAGCTGGCGGCAGACTAGAGAGTGGCTAACCGGGCAAAAGTGCAGAAAAAGAGCAGATAAATTGACCGCAAAAAGAGCAGAGCCAGCCCCAAGAGGAAACTGAGGAACAGATAAACCTTTAAGTCATCAAAGTTGGGCCGAGAGGCACTGAGGCGAGCGCAGTCGACTTTTCCCTGCTTGAGCATGTTTATACCCTCACCCATGCTGTAGTGAATGGAGGGTTCTTTAAATTTGTAGAGTTTTGTAAACGCAGAGAAGGTAGCCGATAACCAAGTGATAATTTCCAAGATTGAAACTGATGCAAAAGACTTAATACCAATTTTAAACGGATTAAAGAATTTTCAAAATAAGTTTTTGTTATTTGAAAATTGTAATTCATAGAGAACCAAGTTGCAAGGGCATCTAACGCTTCGGCCCCAGAAGCTTGCATGCTCGCTTCCCCACCCTTCTGATTGGTGCTCAGCTCAGCTGACGTCGCAAAATGGCAAGAAGCCTCTCTCCACCGTCCACCGTCCACCGTCCACCGTCCACACTCCCCTTCTCTCTTTCCGCCACTCAGCGCGTTGAGCTAGCTGAAAAGGCAAGAGCAAACAGGAAATGAACCCGCATGCACTTTTGTAAGTACCTTTCGTTCGAATTCGCTGGCCGATTGCATCGGGTATGGGGGCTGGGGCCAGGCCTGAGCGTGGTATTGGGCTCAAGTATATTTTGTCGTCTTGTGTTTCTTGGTTTGTTTTTATTTATACCGTGAAGCGTGCAGGTTTCCAGTGGGCATATGTATGTGTATATGGCATGTACTCGGACTCGTAACCCTGAACTGGGGTAAAAGGTAATATTCTCTTTTAACTTATCCGCAAATGTTTGGACTTATTCTTAGATTAATAGACCATACACTTCGGCCTTAAATCCATATGATTCTTCCCCTAGTAGGTATCAACTAACAGAACCCTCGACAAAATCTTTTTTCACTTTGTGTTTTTAATTTTGTTGTTGTTAATTTGCAGGCATTTTCAGACCATTTCATTCCACTTGGGCGTAGGTAGGCCCCCCATATTTGTGCAGTTGCGTGTATTTGTATCTGTGTATGTATGTATGTATTTACATGCATAAATATGTACGAGCATGAGGATGTGTGAGCCAGTATGTGACAAACCAACCTGTTCGTGGCCAAGGGAATGACTCAGCGGTGTGGCTGGGGGAGTTGGCCTGCATGAGATACACTTCAGTAGAGATGCACCCAATGCCCGATGAACGATATGCCGACATGCCAGACAATACTCAAGTGTTTGCCGAGGACACGCACACCCATGTGTTTGCGAGGGGTCTGTCTGCTTGTCTTCCCTTTTGAGCTGCCCTCCAGCGTTTATCCATCGACGCTTTGATTATTTTTGTGCCCTTAGCAATGGCTCGAATTACCCGGAGAATGGAGTTGTCTCTACATTTGCTTCTCTCACTCCCTGTATCTGCTGGCCTTCCTTCTTTGTCTTTCTTTTGTGTTTTTTCCTTTTCCCGTGCTCGTCTTTCCTGTCTTCATATGGGGTCTTGCCTCTTGAAATGTGTGTTCAATGGGTGATTTCCGATGTTCCAAAATAAGTCTAGAGAAAACATTTAAATCAACTATAAAGCTTAAGAGACTATTTTCCAGTAAATAAACTAAGAGATAACAAAATATCTATTTTACATCTCTTTCCCTACAAATGTGTACTCATATTCATTTCAATTGACGCCATTATTTGCATAATTAAGAAGAACGTATGCATACGACCTTGGAAATCTCTTCAGGCTCTTGGCACAATTATTGTCTATGGCTTTGGATTAGCAAAAACATTTATTTCGAGTGTGCTTGCCTTGTACTAGTGCTAGTACCCGATGTAGCAACAGTAGGTACCTTGCTGTGGGCAGGGCGGATTGCAGCCGGTGGCGTGACTAAGACATTCCGCCATGGCAAAGTGAGTTTTCAAAAATTTGAAACAAATTTCAGTCGAGTTTTTGTGTGTTGGTCTGCCTTCATTCTTCTTCATTCGCCGCACAATAATGTGGCCGAGTTGCCGAACAAACCAAGCAGACTTTTATTTTGGAGCACTGTTCGTAGTTTTATTTCTGCACACATGCTCACCTTTATGGTTTCGGCATTAAAAATTGTGGCGCAAAATTCAAACACTAAAACGTAATTGAAAAGGCATGAGAGATGCCGCAGGTACATATGTATGTACAATATGTAGTTGCTTGTGTGGAGGGGAGGCTGGGCCGGGTCTGGGCTGGGTACCAGTACCAGTACCGACCAACTCCTAAGCCAAAGTCGCAGTCAGTCGCGCACTAAATCCCAATGGTAACGCAGCCATTAATCACAACACAAGAAACGGGTGGGGAAAGGGGCGCTTATCTAGCTAATTTCGCGCCGAGTTAATAGAGGAAAAGTGGTGAACGGCTCAGAAAAAAAATACAAACAATGGTTCGAAAAGTTCCATCCAGAAATCGGTATTTTTCCCAATATCTTTTGGATCCCTCCCGTATGAAATGCATCAGAGTTTTTCCCTAAACGTACATATGTAAATATATGTGTGCACAATGATGTACATATGCATACATCACTTTCGAATGAAATTTGCATTGTTCCCGACACTTGGGGTGTGTAGTCCTCGGCAGTCGAGGCCCTCCCCATTAAACCTAATTAATGCTATTTACGTAGTAGACAACAATTAGTTTTAATGGTGTGGTGGGTGGAGAGAAGAGAACGTAATACGTGTCATTCCTCAATATACCGATCGCGGTGTCGCAGGTAGTCGTAGTGCTTATATATGACACATATCGATATGGCCGTCACGCCTGTAAAGGGCATCGCTGCTGTCAAGAGCTGAACACCTCATGTCGAGTTCCTCCTTACTTATTAGTCCGATGATGAAGAGTATGGATGGAATTGTGAGACAGCCTATCGCGTAGCACATTCCGGACAGCCATTTCTTTTCCAATGACCATTATAAGAGTACTTATAGGTTTTTCCGTTTCTGTGGACATCGAGGGACTGATCAATTCCCGCCTGAACCAAGTATGTGGCTGTAACTGTGGTCCCAACGATCCAGCCGACAGCAATTACTATGCAGCTGACTCGCAGGCATTTCGCATTCATTCCCATTTTCCAATAGGACACATTTTTCGTTAAACATTTTCAGGACAGAAATAGCTTTGATTTAACGATTTGGGGTATTGTACATTATTAAAGCAGGCCTTAGTAGAACGTAACAGAGCACAATCTGCCAGTTTATATGCCAGTAAATATGTACATACATATGTACATATGTGTGTATGTACGAACCCCATTAAATTAGCATTTATTTTTTTTATATATTGTACTATACTTCTACCCGTTTTGGCCAAGTCTTTAGCCATTCAAGGCGCAGGCCACGTAACAGTAACAAGGCATAAAAGGCGAAATACATAAAAACATATCAAGTATTCCATATTCACACCATTCACAATGGTTTATCAGGTTGCATGCACGCGATTCAAATCAATTGCCACAATGACACACATACAAATTGTTATGCTACTGGCAAATATGTGTATGTGTGTGTGTACATATGTATGCATCGTTGTATCTGACAAACGTCTAATGCTTAAACCAGAACGGTGATGATGACGAGCCAGTAAAGACCTTCACGGTGGCAAGCAGAAACCTAGCAAAGAGAACAGATGACGAGACGACTGTGCACTAAGAGTTGCTGTCTCATGGCACCGAAGCAGTGCATACCCTTGCCGACTGACCACTGATGGAAAAATGTCTCTTGGTTTAGCGACGGCCCGTCTGCAACTGGGAATAGGTTGGGAGATTGGTCTTAGTACTCTTGGCAAGTGTATTCAAACAGCAATAACACACTGTGTAGGTACATCACTACGTCATTCAGTGAAGTGAAAGGCTTTGTGCAGACGGGTTGGAGAGTTGAGGAGGGGTTGCACGTGCTTTGCATGTCCAATTACAAAACAGCAAGAACCTGGTCGCACAAAGACATAACTTACAAATTTTCATCGGAATCAACAGGTTTCGTAAAGTGGAGAATAGATTGCAGGTAGCGCACGTGGGAGAGAGAGAGAGGGAGTGGGAGTGGGAGAGTGTTTCTCTTTTAACCGTTCTTTCTTCTGCATAATTACAAGGTTTCGTTTCGTTTCGTTTCGTTCTCGTATTCGGATTCAGATTCGGATTCGGACGAATAAAATGAAATATTCAATCGACACAATGGCACATATTCGA